CAACAACATAAAATCCACCAATTAGACCTGCAGATCTTGTGGTGTATCTGAGTGCTAACAAAAATACATGCCTATAAGTATATTTACCTACTGTATAGCAGGTTAAAATCGCGGTCGGAAAAGATCGCGATGTGTTCAATTTTCAGCAAATCGCGGTCGTTTGAATTCGTGGAAACGAAAACAGGAAAGTCATATCTATATTGTGTCGATTTTGATCCCGATTGAATCAAAACACCGGACTGATCCGATTTGAAGTCAAAATAATGTTAAGCATTCAGATTTTTTTTATTTCATGGTCCAAATCAGAAAAAAAAATACTGTAGTCAAAATGTTGAACTTTTATTCATCTAATTGAAATTAATTAATTGTCGTTACCCTGTTTACCACGTAAGTGCCTTGATTAAAGGTAATGACTGAGTGATACGCACGGGTGAAATTAAACAAGTAGGTTTTATTAAATAATTACATCGCACGTCTACTAGATTAATCGTTAGCTATAGAAAATAACTGAACAATTAATAAGCTTTAAAAACACCGACAACTACGTGTACACTCGCATAATTATAAAGACAGTCTACATCTAATCACAGATAATAATAAAATTCAAATTTATTCTAAGGCTTATAAATCTTATAAAGAATTATTCACTGTATGTTGAATTCGCGGAATTTCTTTTTCCGCGAATATAGCGAATATTAACTCCGCGAGTTAATTTCCTGCTGTACAGTATATGTCGAAGTTGTTGATATCATAATCATATTATACAATTATTGCTGTTTTTGAGGTAAATAGGATGATTTAACCACCTGAGGAGTACAGTATTCACGGAGTCCAGAGGGTGAGGTGAATATTGTACTTCGATGGTGGCTAAATCATTGTATTGACTGAAAATACTGCAATAATTGTTTTATTGGATGATACAATGATTAAATGATGCAAATCATTACTTATTAGCTAACCTCGACTAAGTCGAGATGAGTTTATGCTATACCTCGGCGTTGGCATCGGTGTCGGCATCCCAGGTTCAAGTTTAAGGAGCAAGTCCATTACCAAGTTACTATAAGCCCTACGTGGACCAAACTTGCATGCATCTAGGGATGGACACTATCAGACTTGCTTTGGATGCTGGATCTGACCTACATTTTCCAGATGAGTGACCAGGTTAAAGTTTTTGGAGCAGGTCCATTTCCAAGTAACTAAAAGCCCTACCCAAACCAAACTTGCATGGATGATGCATCTAGTGATGGACACTATCAGACTTGCTTCGGATGCTGGATCTGACCTACAATTTTTAGATGAGTGACCATGTTATTCTCAAGTAACTATTATTTCTACCTGGGCCAAACTTGCATGGATAATGCATCTAAGGATGGACACTATTAGGCTTTGGAGGCTGGATCTGACCTACATTTTCCAGATGAGTGACCAGGTTATTCCCAAGAAACTATAAGCTCTACCTGGACCAAACTTGCATGGATAGAGCATCTTGGGATGGACACTACCATACTTGCTTCAGATGCTGGATCTGACCTACATTTTCCAAATGAGTGACCAGGTTAAAGTTTTTGGATCAGGTCAATATCCAATGAACTGTAAGATCTATTGAAGCAGAACTTGCATAAATATTATTGTCAGGGTAAATACTAGCTATTAAAAAATATGATGTAAGATTTGCGTTACTTAAACCGATAACATTCGTTGAGGTGAGCTTCGTAATCTTTGATTACCTATGTTATTGGCATTTGTTGAAGACTTAAGCAATTACAAAGAAAGAAGCAGAGTTACAATGTAAAATTCCGTCGTATAAATTTGAAATGTTTAAAATCTATTTTAGTTACTATGAAAGAAAAATTATATCAGGCTCTTCTATGTGATAGATTTTGAAAGTGATTGAGATTACTGTAAACGTGGAAATTTTGATGTGCCAATTTTGATTATATTGACGATTTTTCTTTTATCGTCAAAATTTACACTCGTCAAATTTCACATCATATATATAGCGTCGCAACAGACATTGACCATCGTACAACATTACCGCTTAATTTTCTCGGGTTTCCCCTATTAAAACCAGATCGAAGTTACTGTTAATATCTTTTGTAATTAGTTATGAAAACACAGTGATATATAATCACATTTTTAAAACCATTGAATCTAAACTAGTGTATCAAATACTGCATGCATAACTTAGCATAATTATCACGCTGTGTTTGACCTATTTCGTGACCTCAGGCAATCAATTGACCGCTTATAGTGAAAACAATTTACAAGAGGGCAAACCTTATACACAGTTAGATAGTTTGCACAATCTAACACACTGTAGATGGTCTTACAATAATTAAAATTTTATAGTGACTCCGACGCTGCCTTTGTATCCAAAGATTTTTAACTCTTGATTAAATATTTCATCAAAATTAACACTCGTCAATTTTCGTAAACTAAAAATCGTCAATTTTTCAACTCGTCAATATAACCATGTTTACAGTATCAGGGAAAACTGACACCTTAAATTTAAGTAAAAATATTTGTTTAGAAAAAGAATCAGAAGGAGTGGAGTGGTCCCAGCACCCCCACTTAACCACTCCCACCAAAATTACACATTCACCTAATGTTGTGTTTACATGAGTAAAAGTAGGCAACATGTGAAATAGCTTTCCAAAACAATTTTTATCAATTTGGAATTTCTCGATCTATTTTTAGATCAATGTAGAGAAATTAAATCCTTTTATTATACTTCTGTTCAAAATGTTTCCTACATAAAGTTAAGAAGGTAAAATAACTATATTTCATAGTCTGAAAATTTCCACACATAGAAAGCTATACCCAGGGGTATAGTATTATTAGTTACATAGTCTTTTAGTGACAGGGTATGGGATGATACCTGGTTAGTAAATTTCATGAAATTTACTAACCATGTATCAACATCCCCCCCCCCCCTTCAAAAAAAAAAAATTAATAAATAGAGGTAGAATTTGGAACTGGTCAGTAGGAATATATGAGGTTTAGTTGAATTATTACATATTTGGAACAATTCTAACTTTTCAAATCAGTGAACTAAGGTAGCTTTAACAATAGGCAGCATTTAATTAAAACCAAAATGCACTGAAAAACAGTTTCTAACCTTAGGCTGACATTTCAATATAATTTACCAAACATTGAGAGAGTTATTTTTAATAGTGTTTAATATACATGTCTTATCAATTTCCTCAGATAAAAGGAACAGAACAAAGAGAGAATGTGTTTTGGTGATTAATGTTTTTTGTTGTATGGATTTCATTAGTAAGGATGCTTTCCTCTGAAACTTTTGGTTTTGGTTCTCTTTTACACCTGTTGCTATATTCTTCACAGACTCCTGGCGTTCTGATGTTTTATTCATCTCTGTCAAGGGAAATCTGTTGGGATGAAAAATTAATTTCTTTCAATGCTAAACAGGATAAGTATCATGATTCAATATGAATTTATTGTTTTAACTTCAGGAGATATCAAGACTGTGTATTCACAAATTGTACATATGGCCTGAATTTGAGCTAATGAAATAGACTACAAGAAATTGCATTATTGATATGAAAACCAATAATATAAAGCAGATGATTATTAAATTGTGAGAGAAAGTAATGAAGGTTTAAAACAGTGAAATTTATTATACCCTCCCCCAGAAAAGTGGGAGGGTATATAGTGATCTGGGTGTCCAATTGTCCATATGTCTGTCCATCCGTTTTTGGGGGTACTTATCTCTTATCCGCACTCCTCTGACATGCACTATTCGTTGTTAGTTGGTCATCAGCTTTTAAACAATTTTTAATATCTTCACCTGAACTGTTGATCAAATTTCAGCCAATTTTTGTTGAAAGCACTTATGGAAATGTTAGTTGATCATATTAAAAAGACCAGAATGATAACTCCCACAAATATAATTTATACCATACAGGTTGACAGAATGATCGAACCATAGAAAAAATATCTTGCAGGTCTTGATGGTTTGAAAATAAAAACAAACGCCTTGAAAGGCAATTTAATTAATTTCATAATCATGAGTTTGAGTGTCTCAAATACTTATACTAAGAATCAAATGCCTAGTATGATTTGGGTGTTGGGGGAGGGGGGGGGGGAGGATGACATGTTTAAAAAAATTTATACTATTTTTAATAAGGCTTTGAGCTGAGTTTTGCTTAACTAAAAATATCATTATTGATTATGACCCCTAATCTGACCTTTAGGTCTATATTTAAGGCTATTGCTGAAGCTTCATCCTGACAGCATCAAAACCTGAAGCATTTTCACCTTAGGCCTTTGGGAATCTGAAGGGTTCAGCTGTACTACATCTTGGCATAAGGCAAGGAACGTAACTGAAAATATATATGAAAAAAATTCATTGCATTACAAAATGGCATTTTTTTTAACATTTGGCTGGTATCACTCGTTTTCAGTCTACTTTCACTGGTGCAAACATCAAAGAGATGTAGTGATTGTGTAGTTTTTCTCTGTGACAATCTCCTGGACTGGAGGAAGGCTTTCCAATGGCTTCACAGTATTGATTCTACAGTGATAGCCAATAATGTGATTTGTAATGGGGAGGCATAGCTTAATTACATTGAATCATATTTAGATTAGCCAGGATACTGTTAACATCAATTTGGTTTCCTATTCATTCAAATGTTGCTATAGTCTCTCTGGTGTAGTCAGACAAAGGATTGGTGCTAGCTAGGATTGCGTGGCCTGTAAACTGCTGTTAACTTTTGTAAGTGGAATGTATATAAAGCTTTTACATATTTTGTCATTTGTATGCATCATGATATATATTCATTTTGATGGCAAATTTTGTGATGTGACTAATTATTGCTTATAAACAAAAGGGGAACTAAATGGCCTCTTTTTTGGTGGTTAGTGGCAGGGGTTGGGGTTAGAATTGGAAAGGAGGACAGTTTCCATGACACATTTATGTAATAGAGTTGACATTGTCATCATACAAGTAAATGCAGGTGTGCCATTTGATTTAATTTCAGGTTAAGCTAAGAGATGACCTGGTGCAGCGTAATCAGTTGTCAACCATTGGATTATTCAGTGTGCATTGTCTGTTTTAAACATCTCAGGAATTAGGTGTAAGTAGCCTCTGCCAGTCCTTAAAAAAAATCACTGTTGAGTGTACTTAACACGTAGATTAAATGGAAAAAATTATTATTGAAAACGCTGTCAACATTTTATAAAGAGACCATTATATGATTTAAATGGAGAATTTAAAACTGAAATTACATAGAATAGATAACACAATGAGAAACCTATCAAAGCGACATTAAAGCAGATCAGGTGAGAAATAATACAGATCAATAATGGGTCTGAATAAATAAGTATATTGAATATATAGACTAGTAGGTGATGAAATGTGCCCTTATTTATGAATTGTCAGATATTACATTGAACTAAAGTGATTTTAGGCTCTGTTTGCTGAAGGTCTTTTTAAACATTTCTGTTGTAGGGGACAAACAACTAACTATGAATGTGAGAATACAAGGCCATGGAAAATGGTATCTAAATTTACCAGGAGTTTAAGACTCCAGCTATTGGAAACAGGTAATTTTTTTTAGTTTTTCACAAAGTGACTTTTTTAAGGTAGACAGTGCCTCATGTTGGCTGATCTCAAATCATGGGGCATTTCAAATCAATTAGCTTCAAATTGTCTAAAAATAAAAAATATAATCATTTAGCCTGAAATTTAATCTGAGGTAATTTTTTTTAAATAATTTGCAGCTCATTGAAATTTTGATCAATAAGAGTAATCATTTCCTTTTGATGTCACAGTATAGAGAATGGGTATGTGTGAAACTCAAAGTGAAATGAATAATTCAAAATAATAAAATTAGCTAATCATGCAGGACTGAAGAAGCAAGAAAAAGTTGTCAGCCCTGACATAAAGACCTACAAGTCCAAGAATTCCAGAAATTATATTCCTGATACTTAATATATGGTATACATGCATGTATATTCAAATCTATATTAGTTGTTATGTTGTCTTTGTTGTGAATGGCAGTGGCAATCCTTTTTCAGTATTTAAAAATAATGAAGTTAAAAATTCCACTAATTAACCTTGTCCTTAGACCACCTGGGTTAAATTTTCAAATGAGCCAAAAGCTCAACTCCAAAAAAAAAAAGACTGTTGTCCTTATTGTCACAATTGTAATGTTTTAATGATTTTATTGTTTTCATAGGAAACATCATTGTGCCAATTGCATAAAATATCCTTCAGTAAGGGAAATTCAAGTTTGTTAAAATGACAGGCCACCGCTTTTTGGGACATGAGCAGGTCCAGCTTAAATATTCTTTGTTCAATTTAGTTGTGACCTACAATTTTTAAAGTGGTTAAATATAGGTTCTAAGGTGTCATACATGTTAACTCTACCAATTTGGGCAGAAGTTTACTGCTTTTTGCACGACCTCCCACCTACCGCTTTAATATGTAAATCTACAGCTTTTTTTTTGTTAATTAGGGACACTCTGTCTGTCTGTCCATCTATCATTCTTCCGTCCACAAATTTTCTGTTTTTTCCAAATAACTTTTTAAAAAAAAAAACAAAGGAGTTAATTCAATGTGAGAAGGCTGCTGTGTTCATCATTTCAATTAGGGCATCTCTGATCTAGCAGGTGCTATCTATAGTATATCTACCAGGAATTAAAAATCTGCCTCTGAGGCCATAAAACTGAGACAAGCTCACTTTTGATTTCCGTCTCACTTTTTCAGAATAGTAGAAAAGTTAGACTTAGATCAAAAGTGAGCTCATCTAAGTTTTATGGACCCAGAGCCTGGTAGGGCTCATATCTCTGATTTTCAAGTAATAGAATCTGTTAAATCAAAACATTGAGTTACTTGATGGCCAGCTTTTTATTAGCTCACCTCAACGAAGTTGGGGGAGCTTATGTAATACCCTCGGCGTCGGCGTCCCAGATTAAGGTTAAGTTTTTTGGAGCAGTTTTCTTTTTAAGTACTTCTATGTCCTATATTGATTAGACATGCATGGAAGATGCTTCTAATGTGTTTCACTGTACAAGTCAAAGTTTCAGATGCTGCAATTTCAGCAAAGGAATGACCAGGTTAATGTTTTTGGAGCAGGTTAACATTTCTGCTGCAGTTTTTGGTGTAGGTCTCATTTCCAAGGAACTATAAGCACTATGTTGACCAAACTTGCATGGATGGTACATCTAAGGATGTACACTACCAGACTTGCTTCGGATGCTGAATCTGACCTACATTTTCCGGTTTAGTGAACAGGTTAAAGTTTTTGGTGCAGGATTCATTCCCAAGATACAATGAGCCCTATAATGACCAAACTTGCATGGATGGTACATCTTAGGATGCATACTAACAGACTTGCTTCAGATGCTGAATCTGACCTACATTTTCTGGATGAGTGAACAGGTTAAAGTATTTGGTGCAGGTTTCATTTCCAAGTTACAATGAGCCTATAATGTCTAAACTTGCATCGATGATACATCTTAGGATGCATACTACCAGACTTGCTTTGGATGCTGAATCTGACCTACATTTTCTGGATGAGTGAACAGGTTAAAGTTTTTGGTGCAAGTTTCATTTCCAAGATACAGTGAGCCCTGTAATGACCAAACTTGCATGGATGATACATCTTAGGATGCATAACTATCAGACTTGCTTCGAATGCTGAATCTGACCTACATTTTCTGGATGAGTGAACAGGTTAAAGTTTTTGATGCAGGATTCATTTCCAAGTAACTATGAGCTCTTTAATGACCAAACTTGCATGGATGATACATCTAAGGTTGCATTTTACCAGGCTAGCTTCAGATGCTGAATCTGACCTACATTTTTTTCTGGATGAGTGAAGAGGTTAAATTTTTATGCAGGAGCAAGTCATTTCTAAGTAACTATTAACCTATGTTGTGCAAACTCGCATGGATGATACATCTTAGGATGCATACTAATGGACTTGCTCCGGATGATGAATTCGACATACATTTTCCAGATAATGGACCAGGTAAAAGTTAAGGTTGCAGGTCTATCACCAAGAAACTATAAGGCTTAAATAAACCAAACTTGCCCAAGTCATGCATCAAGGGATGAAAACTTTTAAACTTGCTTCAGATGCTGGATTTCGGTCACATTTTTGTGATGAAGAACTAGTTTGAAGTTTTTATATAGGTCTATTCCAAAGTATCAGATCAAAATTGTATAAATTTTGCATTTTTGGATGTACACATTTTGTTGGGTAATTGTGTGACTTTGCCTTACTTAAAGACAACATTCGTAGAGGTGAGCTCTGTAATCTCTGATTACCTATGTTTTTAAAATAAATAATCATTGGAATCGTCTGTAATTAAAGTAAAGTGTAAGTTATCTTTTTCTTCTGATCCAGAAATGATTTAAACTAAATTCCTTTGGTAGCAATGTGCTATGAAGCTAGCTAAGTGTTCCAAACGGGGTGGTAGAGGTTGCGTACCTTGACCATAAGTTAGTAATATGAACAGCCTGTATGAGTGGAATGCTGATTTATAGGCTGCCACTGTGGAAGGTTATAGAGAACCATACTGTAAGAACTCTGCAGTTTGATTCAGAGACATCAATGCTGGGTTCACATGGGTGCTGGCCCTGATCCATGCAAGAAAACCGTGTTTGGAACTCTTTGACCTGCAATCAAGAAAGTAGATTTGCAGCTATATTCTGGACTCCTTCAACATGTACATTGTGTGTTAGAGATGAAACCATCAGTCGTCTCATGAGTTGCATAAGTGATGTGTCTTTTGAAGAGTTTTTGTTGATGATATGAACAACCCCTAGGTTGTCAGATTGTAAAATTTCAGTGCTGTAAGATAATAAGTGTCCTCATATATATTGAAAGCGATCACAATAGGCAGGAACTTGGGAACTGAGATGTGAAAATCCAGCCACTGATTAGGAAAAGGGGCATTAAACCATTTCCTACCAAAAGTACAACCGAAACCCAGATTACTTGCGTCAGTAAATAAGTGCAAAGAGGAAGATGTGTGTTGTACCCCTGAAGGGAAAAAAAGCTCTACCATTAAAAAGGGCAAGAAAAATGGCCCATGCTTTCAGATCGGCTCTGGCTTCTCAGACTAGATTCCTATGATGGAAAGGATTTTGCAAGTCCTGAGTAAGAATGATAATTCACCTAAGGAATGTATGCTCGGGGGGAACAACTGCACAAGCATAATTTAATGTTCCTTTCAAGAACTGCATTTGGTGGAGTGAAGCAGTGCATTTATTTTGGAATGATTTTATTTCAGATTTTAAACGCTCCAACTTGTTCACTGGGAGTCTAATTTCCAATTTCGATGTACTGTAAAAGTACTTAATTCCACGAGGTCATAATTCCACGGAAACAAAATTTCTATTCAATCCGCGAGTATAAAACTAGGCGGATACCTTGGATTGTCAATATATGTCCTTAATGAATCTTTAGTATGCTGTGACAAATTTCTGCGAAAAACTTGTGTCTGTGTAGATAGCGAAAATTAATCCTGCACGGTAAAAAGTACGTCTCTACAGTATCTAATTTCAACTCTAAAAATGTCAAGGTGGTAGTTGGGTGAACAGTTTTCTTGGATTTGATAGGGAGGTAGATATCTTTGGCAAGGGAAGAGAATGCTAAAAGTAAGCTATAGCAGTTTGGGGATCTGGGGGACCCACAAAAAGAAAATCATCTAGTATACCAAACTTATTCTCTAAATTCATTGCAATGCTGTGCTAAACTTTTCAAAGAGATGACAAGAATAACTTGAACCAAATGGAATTTTTTTGTCGTAATAATATGACCCAGATATCTTGAAACCTAGCAGTTCAAAATAACTTGGATGTGTAGACATTTTTCAAATCAGTCTTTGCAGGAAGAGCCTCCCTGTCTTCCCAATCACTGATCTGTGTGACTCCATGTCTCCCTAATCACTGATCTGTCTGACTCCATGTCTCCCCAATCACTGATCTGTGTGACTCCATGTCTCCCTAATCACGGATCTGTGTGACTCCATGTCTCCTAATCACTGATCTGTGTGACTCCATGTCTCCCTAATCACTGATCTGTGTGACTCCATGTCTCCCTAATCACTGATCTGTGTGACTCCATGTCTCCCTAATCACTGATCTGTGTGACTCCATGTCTCCCCAATCACTGATCTGTGTGACTCCATGTCTCCCTAATCACGGATCTGTGTGACTCCATGTCTCCCTAATCACTGATCTGTGTGACTTCATGTCTCCCCAATCACTGATCTGTGTGATTCCATGTCTCCCCAGTCACTGATATGTCTGACTTCATGTCTTCCTAATCACTGTTCTGTCTGACTCCATGTCTTCCTAATCACTGTTCTGTCTGACTCCATGTCTCCCTAATCATTGATCTGTCTGACTCCATGTCTCCCTAATCACTGATCTGTGTGACTCCATGTCTCCCTAATCACTGTTCTGTGTGACTCCATGTCTCCCTAATCACTGTTCTGTGTGACTCCATGTCTCCCTAATCACTGTTCTGTCTGACTCCATGTCTCCCTAATCATTGATCTGTCTGACTCCATGTCTCCCTAATCATTGATCTGTCTGACTCCATGTCTCCCTAATCACTGATCTGTGTGACTTCATGTCTCCCTAATCACTGTTCTGTCTGACTCCATATCTATCTAATCACTGATCTGTCTGACTCCATATCTATCTAATCACTGATCTGTCTGACTCCATGTCTCCCTAATCACTGTTCTGTGTGACTCCATGTCTCCCTAATCACTGTTCTGTGTGACTCCATGTCTCCCTAATCATTGATCTGTCACTGTTCTGTGTGACTCCATGTCTCCCTAATCACTGTTCTGTGTGACTCCATGTCTCCTTAATCACTAATCTGTGTGACTCCATGTCTCCCTAATCACTGTTCTGTGTGACTCCATGTCTCCCTAATCACTGTTCTGTGTGACTTCATGTCTCCCTAATCACTGATCTGTCTGACTCCATATCTATCTAATCACTGATCTGTGTGACTCCATGTCTCCCCAATCACTGATATGTGTGACTCCATGTCTCCCTAATCACTGTTCTGTGTGACTCCATGTCTCCTTAATCACTCATCTGTGTGACTCCATGTCTCCCTAATCACTGTTCTGTCTGACTCCATGTCTATCTAATCATTGATCTGTGTGACTCCATGTCTCCCCAATCACTGTTCTGTGTGATTCCATGTCTCCCCAATCACTGATCTGTGTGACTCCATGTCTCCCCAATCACTGTTCTGTCTGACTCCATGTCTCCCCAATCACTGTTCTGTGTGACTCCATATCTATCTAATCACTGATCTGTGTGACTCCATGTCTTCCCAATCACTGTTCTGTCTTACTCCATGTCTATCTAATCACTGTTCTGTCTGACTCCATGTCTATCTAATCATTGATCTGTGTGACTCCATGTCTCCCCAATCACTGTTCTGTGTGATTCCATGTCTGTGTGACTCCATGTCTCCCTAATCACTGATCTGTGTGACTCCATGTCTCCTCAATCACTGATCTGTGTGACTCCATGTCTCCCTAATCACTGATCTGTGTGACTCCATGTCTCCCTAATCACTGATCTGTGTGACTCCATGTCTCCCTAATCACTGATCTGTGTGACTCCATGTCTCCCCAATCACTGATCTGTGTGACTCCATGTCTCCCTAATCACTGTTCTGTGTGACTCCATGTCTCCCTAATCACGGATCTGTGTGACTCCATGTCTCCCCAATCACTGATCTGTGTGACTCCATGTCTCCCTAATCATTGATCTGTCTGACTCCATGTCTCCCCAATCACTGATCTGTGCGACTCCATGTCTCCCTAATCACTGATCTGTGTGACTTCATGTCTCCCTAATCACTGTTCTGTGTGACTCCATGTCTCCCTAATCACTGTTCTGTGTGACTCCATGTCTCCCCAATCACTGTTCTGTCTGACTCCATGTCTATCTAATCACTGATCTGTGTGATTCCATGTCTTCCCAATCACTGATCTGTCTGACTCCATGTCTGCCCAATCACTGTTCTGTGTGACTCCATGTTGTTTTTGGTTTCAGAAGAAGAGGATGCAGCAGCTAAGCTGGCTATTGACAGGCTTCTGCCTTCTGTTTCCAATACTCACGTCCAATGCAGTCTATAAAGGTATTTAATCTTTGTACTAGGACTCAAACAGATTCATTGTAACTAATTAGAATGAAAATAGAAAGCATGACCATGTTCTGATTAATTTGTTTAACATATCAGATGTCGAAGAAAGCTCTTAACACTATCAACAAGTAGTGTTTTTTCCCCAGTAATCAATTCAGGGGTAAATTGATTATACCCTTTGTGTCCTTCTGTCTGTCTGTTTGTCTACAAAAACTTAAACCTTGCCCATTTCTTTGAGAGGATGGGTCTTTTATATTTTACAGGTATATCCCTTGTGGCAGGACCTTCCTTGGTTTACCACCAAATTTAACCTCTTGACCTTGGACTTTGACCCACTTTTACAAAAGAAATTCCACACTTAAACTTTGGTGCTAACTTCTGATCAGTTAGTGCTAGAGCTTTCATACTTCACATATTACTGTGACAAGACCTTTCAATGGTGTAAATATTTTTGAAATACCTTGGCAAAATTTTTGAGGAGTCAGTACTATGGCTTTCCTCTTTTGCACATGTATTCCTTGTGAGGAGACCTTTCTTAGGATACAGTTGTTTGACCAGTACCGAATAAGAAACTGATTCTTTGGTGCTACAAATGTATGAGGCATTATTTCAAAATCAAAAGTTTTTTTGTAATTGTAAAGGTAGTTCAATGATTCGTGGAATTAAACATTGTTTCATAAAAGTTCAACCTTCCCCCCCCCATAAAAATTATTTCGCAAGTTAACATATAACTTATGCGATAATAAGGTGTCTGTCATCCGTCTAGCTGTCTGTCTGTCTGTCTGTAAACAATTTTTCAAAATGTTACTACTCCTACAGTTTTGGTCTGATTTCAAAATGACTTGGCACACAAGTAGACTAGACTAAGATACATAATTTAGTGCATCAGATTTTGATTTTGATGAACGGTGTTGCCATGGTTACTAAAAATAGAAATTTCTGTGAAATTCCTTTAAAATGCTACTTCTCCTACAGTTTTGGTCTGATATCAATATATCTTTGCACACAAGTAGACTACACTAAGATACATTATTTAGTACATGGGTTTTTGATTTCCATGAAGTGTTGCTATGGTTACAGGGCTCTCAATTCTCTAAAATTGGGGCCGTTCAACGGCCCCGTTCCCAATGCAGAAAAGGTACGTTTTTTCCCAAAAGAAAGGTGTAAATTTCCCAATTTCCATCCAGAGTAAAAAATTAATTAAAAAATAAAAGTCAATCAAACCTAATCGCAAAAAAACCCCCAAACAAAACACATTTGCAAATGAAAGTGAAACTGTACTACTATGAAATGCATTCGTAAACTGGTTCGGGGAACCAGGTTATTGTTTTTACAAAAATGTATACAACTATGAGTGCAGAGTATCTTGTTATGTAGTTTCGACAAAAACCAGCATTTTGGTTTCAAAAATAGACATTTCATTTAAACATTAGTAAGCTGCAACTAGAAACATACCCGCGCTTCGGCATGTTCAGTCTCGCGCTGTATTGGTAAGCAAAGTTGCCCATGTGATCGAGGAAATTCGGGACTATGTGACTAGCGACTGTCACGCAGTAAGACATATAACCGCAATATCAACACTCAAAGATATTAATGACAAAGCTAATGTACTTTCATAAATAGCCTACGTACCCATGTTTGTTCTGTTTAACTGTTTATTCAAACCACAGTTAGCATTGATGATAAAATGCTAGAAAAGCAAAATTTGAGGATTTTTTTAAATGAATTTGTGTTATCCAACTTTTCCCAAAATGACGATAATTTTCCCAATTTGAACGGCCCCGGCCCCAGTCCCAAAAAGTGGTGTGAGAGCCCTGGGTTACTAAAAATAGAAAATTCTGTGAAATTTCTTAAAAATGCTTCTCCTCCTACAGTTTTGGTCTGATTCAATATAGCTTGGCAGACAAGTAGATTACACTAAGATACATTATCTAGTGCATCAGTATTTTATTTCAATGAACAGTGTTGCTATGGTAACTATAAATAGAAACTTCTGTGAAATTCCTTTAAAATGCTACTTCTCCTACAGTTTTGGTCTGATTTCAATATATCGTTGCACACAAGTAGACTACACTAAGATACATAATTTAGTGCATTGGTTTTTGATTGAGATGAGTAGGTCAAGCTTCAAGGTGAAGGTCAGAAGGTCAAAGTTCTTGGTATCCAATGATAGGTTTTCTCACAAGGATTACATATGTGAGTCATGAAAGCCCTAGACCTAACCCTTCAAAAGTTATGGACAAGGTTTGTTTTTTAAAAGTAGGGCAAACTCCCAGGTCAAGGTCATTGGTATCCAATGATAGTTTTTCTCACAAGGATTACATATGTGAAGTATGAAAGCCCTTGCCCTTACTGGTCAAAAGTTGTGGCCAAGGTTGAAGTTTTTACATAAGTACAAAAATCTCAAAGGTCAAGTTCAAAAGGTCAATGTTGTAGATATCCAATGAAAAGTCTTGCCACAAAGAATATAGATGTGATATATGAAAGTCCTATTATCTACCTTTCAAAAATTATGTCCAAGGTAAAAGATAAAAAAAAATTGTGTAAAAGTAGGTCAAACTCCAAAGTCAAGGTCAAAGGGTCAAATTTGGCGGTACCCAAAGAAAGGTCTTGTCACAAGGAATACATGTGTGAAATATGAAAGTCATAGCTCCACTAAATCAAAAGAATTCGGGCAAGGTTAAAGTATTTGTGACGGAGTGACAGACTGACGGATGGACAGACGAATGAGATTTAATGTCCCCTCGCTTTCGCGATAAAATAAAATAGAGGGTCACTTTGGCACTTTTACAAAGTAAAGTGAAGCCTCATCAAATTCTATGAAGCCTCATTAAATTTTATAGTGGTGGAAGAGGAGTTGCAGATAAAAAATGGGTACCCCAAAGCGTATAAGACAGACAGATGTACAGCTAGATTACATATGGATGGACAAACATCCCATCACTATATACCTTCCCCCTGTTTTTCAAGCAGGGGGTATAACAAGTCATGTTTACATTGAAACAAAGAAGAATGAATTTATAATGGGTATTCAGAACTAGTAAAATGACAGTACGAAAATATTCCGATATCTTCCAGTGTTCTGAATATTTATTTTAGACAAATTTTTAATATTTGTTAGAGTACATATCAAACTTACTTTTTATACCTGGAATGTTGTTTTATGTGCAAAATTGACGTTTCTACAAAGGTTTTTCTGCACACTATTACATTGAGGTGATTCAGATTTCTTGCATTGTAAAAGTAGGTCAACTGTTTTAAGTACGATAACGAAACCGCGCTGATGGCAAAAAACCAAAACTTTACGTAATTCAAACACTCATAAATAAGCCTTCTTAACACATGTACCAAGTTTACAACTTTGATTTGATTAATTATCAGCTCTTAAATTAATAATTATTTGGAACAGGCAAAAATCCAGAACTGGCCAAACAACTGTACTAACAATTTTGACTTGACATTTGGAGTTTAACTTGCATCAAAGAAACTTCAACCCTCGCTATAAGCTGTCATACGGGGGCATTAGTTTTTCACTTACTTAATTTTTAATTAACTGTTAAAATTTGTAATGGTTTGTTATCCAATTTTTTTGTTTATTTCATGTTGAAAGAATGTAAACACTTCTTCAATAGTACAACACTGAATAAAAGTGGGACATTTAATTCTACTGCGTGGCCTGGTCTATACCCTCTCAATACTCACTGCATGTACTACTTCATTGGCCTCCGGAATGAGAGAGTCGAGTTGAACATCACAGACTTCCAGCTACAAGGAGTTTACCCTCAGTAAGTCTTCAGCAAGCTTTTTATGTGTTTAACAGTTCAATTAAATAAAATATTGAAAATGATAAAGATAGATATTTTTTGTATCAGAATCCTTCCTTAAAACCACAGGCTTTTCATATCATGAATATAGTACATATGTTCAATGCGGCAATACAAACACTAAATCAAACAAATTAAACTATATGAAAATCTCTAACCAATATTAATGACAAAATTATTGGCATACCCCTGAGCACGGAAAACGCCAAATTTTACACCTGCCAAGAAAACGCTATACGGTATACTATACAGTAATACTGAATGTGTGATCAATGAACCTTGTGCACATTAATTCTGCACATTCACTTTTTAGCTCTTCTGAGCCAAAGGCTCAAAGAGCTAATGCTATGGAACGCCATCACTGCCTTATAGCATACAACTATGCATTTATTACGTCAATTTATCATTACGTGATGTGAACATATCTTTACGTTATGTCCATTTTTTATGGAATGATGAAAATATATCTTATCATCATGTCAATGCTGCATTACATGAAGTAAATACATCCTTTCATTATGTCAGCACTTCATAACTTGAAGTAAAAAATTCATTATGTGAAGTGATAATGTGTTTACATTGTGTTAAAACTTTATTACGTGAAATGAATGTTTCTTTACATCATTTCATTTCTTTAATATGTGAGGTCAAAATTGCATTACGTCAAGTAAATTGTGTTTTATGATTAAACTTATCATCACATGAAGTCAAAAGCCCATTCCTTTTTGAGAGTGTGTATTTCTATTACATCAAAGTATTATTACGTGATATGGATTTATCTTTATTTTACGGCGAGGGCATGAGGTGAACACATCTTAACTTTATGTCAGTGCTTTATTACGTGGTGTAAAAAGTGTATAACATAATGTGAACATATCTTTATATTATATCAGCACTTTATTACATTATGTCAAAACTCCATACCGTGATGTGGATATATTATAACGTTATGCCAACTCTTTCTTATGTGATTTAAAAATATCTTTATATTGTGTTAACTCTTTATCATGTGGATTCCAAGTTCATTACCTGATGCAAAAATACATTTACATTACCTCAAAGCTGTATATCTAGTATATAATAAATGTTGACGACCGTGTTTTAATGACTGGTAAGAAGGGGGGGGGGGGGTTCGTGATTGATTAGGACAAATTACAGGCACATAATATCACCCCCCCCCCCCCCCTCTTTTCCTAGACATAACTTTACTATAGAAAATGTAATGTTCATTGAAACTGTACAGCCCCCCAACCCCCACTTCTGGTTGAAATATAGTCCACTAAGGGTAACATAATATGTCTGGAAAAAAATAGGATTGATTGAAGTTGGACCACTCTCCCCGAAATAGGATTTTCGGGCCTGGACATCTTTTTTCTTGGCTTGTCTAGTTTTTTCGGATAAATGATTTTTTTTTACTGGCTGACCTCCTCTTTCAAAAAAATGATGCTACGTCACTGGAGTTAGTAATTTTTATTAATCATTCCAGGGCCAGAATTCTATTAAAAAAATCTACCAGTCGCTCATCTAAATCAATTGAATAGGCTTAGTAAGCATGCATGGGCACATATCAGTGGCAGATATGGGAATCTTGAACAAGGAAGGGGGACGGTATATGGTTGGAGACCAAGGGCGGAAAGCGGAGAAGCTCTCAGGCTTTATACTAGTAGTTTTATAGAAAAAAGTTTTCAGCTAAACTTAATGTGAAACTAATGCAATGTCCTACAAAGTTTAAGACTTTTATAAAAAAAAAAAAAAATCAAAATAAAAAGAAAAAAAATGATTGCTGCATGACTCATAATATTTGATTTATTTAATTATCAGATTAAAGTAAACACCATTGAATTTCGACGTGACTTTAATTCACAGTCGCAGTGTTAAGGCTTTGCATGTTTCAAGATTGTCAATCATTTGTCGCTTAAAGTTTTCATTTAAAGATGTCATTCCGAAATAGCTGAGAATCTCTTGTACGACAGTTTTCTCTCCCGCCATTTTAGTGCTTGCGGAACGCGGAAAATACGTTATGCTCATATAAAGGCCGAGGATACCCGCGTTCGCATAACGTAATAGTGAATCGACATAATGTAGAAGAGTGCGCAAAGTATGGCATGAGCTTTTCACATCAGTTAATAAAAACTAAGATTGTCATGAAAAGTAAACATAACGAAATGCAAGTTGACGAAATAAAATTGTAGTATGTGTAAATGTCATAAAGAGTTGATATAATGTAAAGGAAAGTTAACACGATGCAATAGTAGTGTGGGTTAATGTCATAAAGAGTTGACATAATGTAATGGAAGGTTGGCACAATGCAATAGTAGGGTGGGTTAATGTCATAAAGAGTTGACATAATGTAATGGAAGGTTGACACAATGCAATAGTAGTGTGGGTTAATGTCATAAAGAGTTGACATAATGTAATGGAAGGTTGACACAATGCAATAGTAGTGTTCTGCTATAAGGCAGTGACGGCGTTCCATATAATGCTATGGCCATTTGTGCGGTGTGCATAAACTTTTTAGAATATGGGCCATAACTCAAGAACCCCTTGGCCAATCAGTACCAAATTTGTCACAGGGTATTCTTGACCCAAGGGCTACCATTTATACTAAAATAAGGGTTGGGACCCTTAAACAAGGGAAGATAATCAGGAAAACAAAACCAAAAGTACTGGTTGCTAAAAAAACTTCTTCTCCATAACCACGAGGCAGATTTTTACCAAACTTACATACAAGGATCAGGATATGTCGAAGATTAAAATGTGCAAGGGGAATTACCCTGGGGCAAAGGGCGTGGTCTCAAGGTCACTTCAAAGTTGACCCAAATTTACAATTAATAAAAACGTGTATATTTTGCTTACTATAAGGACTAGGATCATCAAATCTTGTAAGTTGATGCAAGTTACGACTTCACATCATGTTAACTCAAAAGTAGGTCACGGTGACCTACTTTTTGAATTTTGCGGGGATTTGTTTTCAAATGGATTTGAACGCATATTTTGGACACTTTAAGGCCTATGATCATCAAACTTTGTCAGTTGATGCATCTTGGGTCCTTGAACAATGTCAACTTAAAATTAGGTCACGGTGTCCTACTTTTTTGAACTTTATGACTTATCTTTTTAAAAACATTAAATCCCATTATTTCAGACACTGGGAGGTTTAGAATCATCAAATCTTGTACTTTGATGCATCTTGGGACCTTAAAACATATTTATGAAAAAGTAGGTCACTGTGACCTACTTTTTGAATTTTGCCGACATTTGTTTTCAAATTGTTTAAAACGCATATTTTGATTACCTTCAGACTTACGATCATCAAACTTGGTCAGTAGATGCATCTTGGGTCTTTGAAAAATGTCGACCAAAATGTAGGTCACGATGACCTACTTTCGACATTTTTAGGCTATATTGAAGTATCTTAGGTATTTATTGGCTTAGAATCATCAATCTTTGTGAGTCGATGCATAATTGGTTTTCGGAGAGTGACAACCAAAAAGTAGGTCACAGTGACCTACTTTTGACATTTTATGGCTATTTTTAAGTATCTCATGCACTTATTGGCTAAGAATCATCAAACTTTGTCAGTTGAGGCATCTTGGGTTTTCGGAGAATGTCGACCAAAAAGTAGGTCACGATGACCTACTTTGAATATCTCAGGTACTTATTGGCTTAGAATCATCAGTCTTTGTCAATTAATGTATCTTAAGTCCTCAGAAAATTTCAATCAAAAGGTAAGTCACTGTGACCTACTTATGGTATTTTATAATTATATTATAATATCTTCAGTCTTAACTAGCTAGATATTATCAAAGTTTGTAAGTTGATGCATTTTGGGTCTTATGATTCTAATAGAGTTGGAGGCTTCTAATAGAAGTGATAGATTGTACAATTTATCAGAAGAGTGATTCAAGGCCCTTGGACCTCTTGTTTTTTTTTTTGGAATATCACCTGGAGGGTGTGGCTTCATTATTCAACAAGTAATAGTGTTTTATAACTAAGCCTCTCAATGAATGAGATTCAATTAATTTAAATGAAGGTAGAATATGAAAATATATCATACATTTATTGCATGATAGTGAGGGAAATATGAAGACTTATTCAGCCAAGAAAAATCATATTCCCTGAGGGCTTCGCCCGAGGGGAATATGATATTTCTTGGCTGAATAAGTCTTCATGCTTCCCGAACATTCATGTAATGAATTGTTTATTATACTGAAACAAGCAAAACCTTTGAAATAAACATAAACTTTGAAATTCGGCACCACTCTCAAATTCACATTTATTTCTTATGTAAAGTTACTATAAAACCCTTTGGTCAACACATTATCATCAATTTTGTGACATAAACCAGGCTATTGTGATGTCTACTACTCTCCGGAGTTTTCGTTCTACGAACGAGAACTATATTGCGGGAAAATACAGTAGGTGTTCCGAAGAGGTGGAATATGATGAAAAGCATGCCAACGGCCTTGAAATATGAAGTTTTACGGCCCGATCACGTGATAACCTAGAACCAATCAGATAACGCGTTGTGTAGAATATTTATAATGAGGTATAATAAAATAGGTTTGAAGCAGGTTTTTTGAGAATTTCTGTTCCTGTGACATCACATACTGTCTAGATTATCCATTATTATACCCAACGCAACAAGTTATGGGAGGTATTATGTGTTTGACCCATTCATCAGTCAATGTGTCAGTCTGTCAGTCCTGTTTTTTTGTCAGCGCAACTCCTCATAGACTGCTGCACAGAATTTCTTCATACTTTGCAGATATTTAGGACACAATGTGTAGATGTGCATATTACCAGGAAATTACGATTCCTTTACGTTTCTGGGAATTTTGGCACTTTTCAACTTAAGACTTTTAAACATATCTTGAATATAGAGATGTACAGTTTTTCAGCACAAATTCTCTTAAAGTGCTGCACAAAATTTGGTCAAACTTTGCAGATATTTTGGACACAATGTATAGATATATGCATATTATAAGGAAATTCCGATTCCATTATTTTTCTGTGAATTACAACACTTTTCAACCTAGATTTTTGGCCATACCTTTTGAAGAAAAAGACAATTTGTCAATTTTCAGTGTGTAATTTATGGAGTGAATATAAATACATAGTATTACTTAATTTTTTTTTAAAAATCTGTAAATATCTTCTCTGAAGAACAATAGGATTTATTGGTTATAATCAGGCATCTTCAGGTTGTGTAGATTTAAATTGTTAAAATTGTTACCATATTGTAAACATTGCTGTATGTTTCAGATGTCAGTTTGATTACCTGGATATTTACGCTCAGATGACGACCACAGAATCAGAGGCTCAGATCTCCTCCCCACTGTTGGGGCGGTTTTGTGGAGACAGGATGGACATTCTACCCTCACGCATTATATCCACCTCCAACATCATCCTAGTGGACTTTCACTCGGATGGCCACAGATCTGCACGAGGATTCTATGGATCCTTTAGATTCATTGATGCATGTAAATATATATTTATGCCCTCCTTTGAAGCAGGGAGGGCATATTGCTTTGCTGCTGTCTGTGGGTCGGTCTGTCGGTCCACTTAGTTTCCGTTCATTTTCTTCACAACCATTGCACATACTGAAATGAAATTTGGTATACAGATAAATCACATAAATATCTAGATCAAGTTCTGTTTTGGGTACGATCGCACCATTTTTGACGGAGTTATGCCCCTTGGACTTAGAAAAATTTCAATTATTTGCAGTTTCCGTTCATTATCCCCTCGCGCAAATAGTTGCGGAGGGGATATAGTATCGCGAATGTGTGTATGTGTGTGTGTTAGTGTGTTTGTGTGTTAGTGTGTCAGTTACACCTTGTGGGCAAGATTGACAGAAAACCTTTGTATTAACCAATCTCAGCGTTTACATACTTGTGTGGCAGTAATAAAGGATGAAGCCTATTTATTTTCAAGTTCATTAATGAAATATTTCTACAGATATCCGTGTTTTTACTGCCTCGAAACCCTGACATTTTATGAACGAGTTGACAAGAATCATTTGTGGGCAAGATTGACAGAGAACCTTTGCATTAACCACTTAGATGACAGATGACTATCTAGGTCAAGTTCTGTTTTGGGTACAATCGTGCCATTTTTGACAGAGTCCCTTTTGGACTTGGAAAAATTCCAATTGGGGGGAGGGGGGCATAAGTGTTTTACAAACATATCTTGTTATTATTTAATGCTAACTGGGCTGTCACTGCCAAAAAGTGTATAACTCTTACTTAGGGTAATATTGCTGTTAATTAGAGTTTTAAAGCAGATTTTCAAGAAGAGGCAATAATTAGGATTGAGAATGCAGTAATCAGATTCTTTTTGTTCGAACTGAAGTTAGTTGATAGAAGTCATGGGTTGTATGACAGCACCTGGCTGTGCTAACATTATCATACCATGCTAAACTTACTGTATGCTAAAAATAACACGTTTTAGCTTACCTGAACCAAAGGCTCAAGTGAGCTTTTCTGAACGAAATTTGTCAAAGATTGTTGTTAGCGTTGTTGTAAACTTTTCACATTTTCATCTTCTTCTCAAGAATCACTGGAGCAATTTCAACCAAACTTGATTAACACAAAGTATCCTTGGGTGAAGGGGATTCAATTTTGTTCAAATGAAGGGCCACGCCCTCTGCCAAGGGGAGATAGTTAGGAATTAGTGAAAAACAAATGATCTTTTTAAATAATAATCTTTTTAAAATCTTCTCAAGAACAGCTGAGTCAGGAAAGATGCATCTTCGCTAGCCAAGGGTTTCTGATACGCTACTCTCCTCGTAAACCCTTGGCCTATGGTGTTCATAGAAATCGGGATTTTTTTCCAGAGTTCTGATTGGATTTCAGTACACCCAGGTCGACCAATCAGCAATTGTTTTTGTAAATGACAATATTTGCGTTCGAGATACATCTTCACTCTTTAATCTCGGAAATGAAAAACGCAAGTAAACAATGATCCGTAAGATAACATTCAATTCTATGAAAAGCCATGGTGTCATCCAATATCTTCTAAATATGTGATTAAGAATCTATATTGAAGCTTCAGGTTTGTTCTATAAATAATGAATAAACATAACTCAATTATTGCTTCTTAATTATTCTTGAACAAACTGATTTAATTTTTTTTAACACGTGTCTTTATTTCTGGCGATGAGGCAATCTGTGCATACCTGATAGATTCGAGATCACATGACGGAAAACAAAATCCCGTCATATGACTTCACCGTATGCCAAGGGTTTATGAGGAGAGGAGCGTATCAGAAACCCTTGGCTAGGGAAGATGGGAAAGATGAAACTTATTTTGAATTATCCTCAGGTAGTGTAGATCTAAATTTGTTCAAATAATGACCCCTGTTGGTAGGGTGGAGCCACAACGAATGATCAAAGTTTTACATATGAATATACAGGGGAAATCTTTAAAAATCTTCTTCTCAAGAACCACTGGGCCAGGAAAGATAAAACTCATATGGAATCATCCTCATATTGTATAGATTCAAGTTTATTCATATCATGACCTTCAGTGGTAGGGTGGGGCCATAATGGACGATCAACGTTTTACAAAAGAATATTTATGAAAAATCCTTAAAAATTTTCTTCTCGAGATTAGCAATGCCAAAGGTGGTGATATTTTAAAATATGGAAGCGTCTTAATGAGGCCCGATCTAGTTGAAAATTACGAAAACGGAATGATAAAAAATTTTAACTCTTGGAAATATATCTGTATGTTTTATGTCAATTAAGATATGGACCATTTTTCGTGTTTTTATACACAATTACATACTAAAACTCTCAAATAAACAAAGAAATTGACAAATTAAAAAAATAAACGATGAAATGCTTTGTTTTTCACATATATCATGCAATTTTCATTCTTTTTATAAAAAATGAAAAGGAAATTGGAGGTAGCCTTTATTGCAGTGAAAAGGGGGCATGTCAAAACACAAAATTTGGAATTATTTTATCCAACTAGGTATTTTATAAGTCGCAATGGGTTTGCATAACATCAACAAACGATTGCAATACTGTATTAGTTTCTAAAAAAAATAAATAATTCTTACATTATGAAATAATTTTCTCGCCATGCTTTATTTTTCTCTTAACACGCGACGTTGTTTTACGTGGGAAAAAGGGGTAGAGGGAGGAGGGGGGGGGAGGAGAAAAAATTACGATTTTTATTAATATCATTTAATATACAGAAAAATAAAACATTTCGGGGGTTGTATTCAAATGATTTATAGACTTATTTTTTAAAACTGAAGCTAATCCATGCACATTTAAGTCCTCAATAAAAAGTGTGTGTATAAACACTTCAACATGTTCAAGGAGAAAGACTAAAATTGTTTACTCTTTGTTGCAATGTTTGTTTTTTTAAACTCACAAATTGAAATAAAACAAGATAAAATTAATGAATCTGTACCAAAATATTGATCCCTCAAAATTAATTATGTTCCAAAATTATTTATTAATTTAAACATATATTTTAAAAAATTGTAAATGATAGAAATGTCAACTTTCAACATGCACAGTCTATAGAGCTACCAAGTAAGCAAGTTTGCGCAATTTGATGTCATTTCAATTGTGACGTTATTGTGTTCAATTGTGACGGCATTCAAGGGTATTGTGACGTGCCTGAGTCGACGCTGCGTTAGAACGTATGCGCAGATCAACTAGATCGGGCCTCGTTAAGTTAGTGTAGATTAAAGTTTGTTCCAATCATGACCCCGAGGGTAGGGCCATATTGGTCAATCAGATTCTTACATAGAAATTTATAGGAAAAGTATTTTCCTATACTATTCCTATAAAGTCTTATTCTCAAGAACAGCAAAACCATGATTGGTGATATTTTTTGGAAGCATCCTCAGGTAGTGTAGATTCTACATTGTATCAAATCAGGACTCCTTGGGCTTTAAATTCCAGGGTGGGGACACAATGTTGGATCAATTTTTACATAGGAATACAAAATAAAATATCTTTAAAAAAATTTTAGAGAACAACAAATCTATAATAACTAGTGCTATTTTCCGGGGACCGTATGCCATATTCCCTGTTATCTCTATTAAATAAGAAATACTTTATGGAATTTAGACTTAATCAAGGTTTTTTCAAGAAAAATACAAAATATATAAAAAAAAAAAATAGGCATTGCACGCGTGTTCATGTGCGTAACGACCATATTATCTTGTCTACACTATCTAAAATTTTAATAATATCAAAGCATTTAATCCAAAAGTATTAAAAAATGCACTCATTCGAGTGTATTTTTTATTTTACTCATTTCACGTGCACGCACGTGCAAGCACGTGCATAATGACTACACCTTCTTGTAGGAGTCCCTTATATTTATCCAAGTTCTAAATCCCATCCTGTTTGGTTGAAAAACAAGAGAGTTATAGCCATTTGAAGTTTCAGCCAATCAGATTGCAGCACACGTGCATGCGCGTGATTTCATGAATATTTTCTATATCATATTTTAGGATATCGTAATGCATGACTATGTTTTAAATTTCAAAGCATTTCGTCAAAAAACAAAGGAGATATAGCCATTTAAAGTTTTAGCCAATCAGATTACAGCACGCGCGCATGCGCATGCTTTTATTAAAATTTTAATATATCATGCTGTAGATCTTCATAATGTAGGACCATGTTCAAAATTTCAAAAGATTATGACAAGAAACAAGAAAGATATTGAGACTTTAGTTTCAGCCAATCAGAGCAAAGCGCACGTGCATGCACGTTATCTTGCTATTTTGACCATGCCATCTTGTCTATACTACTAATGTATCCTTACATTATGAGTTTCAAAGCATTTTATCAAAAAATAGAAAAGTTCCGACTATATCTATTATATTGGTTATTTCAAGTGTTGCACGTGCGCGCTCTTGCAAGCACGTGCGCGCAAAATGACCTTGATTCCGCAAATCTACATAACATGTCTACTTACCCTAAAAAGGTTTTACCTACCTCGGACGAACAGTTTACAAGATCATTCCCGGACAAAAAAGTAATAATAATAATAATAATAATAATAATAAAAAGAAACAGAGTAAAAACAATATGTTCCCCATTTTTTAATAAGTGATTTTTTATATGGAATTAAAAGAAGCACCCTTAGGTACACATGCTTTAGATTCAGGTTAGTTCATATCATGACCCCAAGGGTAAAGGTGTGGCCACAACAAGGGATCAAAGTTTTACGTAAGAATATATAGGAAAAAATTCTTTTACTTCAGAACAGAAAAGTTATGTTTAGTAATATTGATATGTAAGCATCCGTATGCAGTGAAGATTAAATTTTTTTCAAATCATGACCCAAAGAGGGGGGGATTTCGGATGGGCCACAATGGGAGATCAATTTTTACAGGGTAATATATATAAAAAATCTTTAAAAATCTTCTTTTCAAGAATGGCATTATTATTGAAATGAATTATGAATTAAATAACAAGAAATGAAATGTAGATCCAACTGAATTTTTAATACTGGACTTCCACTGTTCCCTGTAAATTTAGTTGGCTGCCAAAATAATTTTTTCAGACTAGCCTGACAAAGCTGTTGAATGGTAAATGAAAACTGTGAACAGAGAACAAATAAATGATCAGTGAATGGTTAGAAAATGGAAAATTTGAAAAAATATTACATTTCAGGTGACATTGGTCATTTATTTGCATCAACTTTATCCTCTAATTGATTGTTATTAAATCAATATGAGCTGCAACTTTGATGTCGAAATATTTAACTGCAAAATTCTAATATTTCAAGAACAGAGAAAAGGAACATTTATAGTCTTCTGTTGTTGAAATTTGTGATGGAAAAAATTATCATAAGCTTTGATTGAAGCAAAATTATATAATTATTGTCGTCCTGTACAATATTGATTTCTTAGTTATTGATACTCTATATTTGACTGTACAAAAGTCTTTCCTCTGAAACAATTTAGTTCTTTATTTTAGTTTAAATGAACATAAAGGTTTAATATTATATACAAATTTATCATAAAAACTCATTTTAACAGCAACATAAAAATCTAAAGAATGCAGCTAATATTGCTTAAATATTTTGAATAAAATTATTTTTTTTTCTTAAATTTCAGCAATCTATGAAGTAGGAACCAAATCCCCAAGCTATTACTGTAGTTACACTATCAATAGTTTGTACGAGAAGACTGGAAATATCATTTCTCCTACCTATCCCGGGGTGTACCCAGACAATTTTAACTGCTCATACAGCTTACACGGACTTGTAGGGGAGAGAATTCAGATCCAATTTAATGACTTCTCTCTTTTTCATGGTGGTGATTAGTAAGTATACTTTAATATAAACTACATTCCTGTTGCAAAGTTATTGTTTGACAAAATTCTTAATGACAATTTAAAAAAAAAAGAAACAAACAAATTTTAACATTTGCTGGCAAAAACAGGATCTTGGCATGAACTATTATAGTTTTAAAAATTATGGCCTTGCCTACTATGGGAAGGACTTTAACCATCAAAGTTAATGGAATCTTTATAAATATTCAGGTGAACATAAGATTTAAGCACATAAAATTTTGGAGGGGGGGGGGGGTACACCTAGAGGTCTGGTCTTTGGGCTCTGTAAATATGCTACTCAGGTGTCTAATCATCCTATTGACCTCAAAAGTAGCAATAGTTGTATAATGTTTGCCCACCTCTGGTGAATATTTCCTTCCACTCCTCCCTGGACAATATTCCAGCCCTCGGGGCTAAATATTCATTGTCAATACTGCCGTGATACTTCTTCCTCAATTGAGGTACACTGTGAAAAATTAGATCTACTTAAACTCCCTGGAACTACTCTTTTATTAATATTCATTAATAATTTAAACCAATTTAAATACTCAGTGGATGGAGCATTAAAGGAATCTTGAATCTGTGACCTAATATTATTTGCAAATGTAACTTTGTTTTCTAAATATGAGATGCAATGTCTAAAGCAATAATAGCAAAATGTCAAGCACAATATCTCTTTTAATTAAAATATGATATTTTTATACCCCCCGCAAACAAAGTTTGGGGGGTATATAGGAATCACCTTGTCCATCTGTCCGTCTGTCTAGCTGTCCGTCCGTCCGTCTGTCTAGCTGTCTGTGCAATTGTGTCCGGTCCATATCTTTCTTACAGAGGGACATTAGAATCTACTACTCCACACAAAGATTGCCCATGACCTAAGGGTGTGTCATGACCTTGACCCAAGGTCATTTGGGGAACTTCAAGGTCACTGGAAGAAAAATTTCATAATTCGTGTCCGGTACATATCTTTCTTATGGATAAACTTGGTAGGTTCTCATTTCACACAAAGATTGCCCATGACCCAAGGGTGTGTCATGACCTTGACCCAAGGTCATTTGGGGAAGTTCAAGGTCACTGGAAGAAAAATTTCATAATTAGTGTCCAGTCCAAATCTTTATGGATAAACTTGGTAGGTTCTCATTTCACACAAAGATTGCTAATGGCCCAAGGGTGTGTTATGACCTTGACCCAAGGTCATTTGGGGAAGTTCAAGGTCACTGGAAGAAAAATTTCATAATTTGTGTCCGGTCCATATCTTTCTTATGGATTAACTTGGTAGGTTTTCATTTCACACAAAGATCGCCCATGATGTAAGAGTGTGTTATGACCTTGACCCAAGGTCATTTGGAGAAGTTCAAGGTCACTGGAAGAAAAAATTTCATAATTCGTGTCCAGTCCATATCTTTCTTATGGATAAACTTGGTAGGTTTTCATTTCACACAAAGATTACCCATGACCCAAGGGTGTGTCATGACCTTGACCCAAGGTTATTTGGGGAAGTTCAAGGTCACTGGAAGAAAAATTTCATAATTCATGTTTGATACATATCTTTATTAAGGAAAAACTTACTTCTGAAAAACCCAGCGGGGGGTATTTTGTCCCGTTTGGACAGTTCTAGTTCCCTTTGTTTTTTTGCATAAAATATCTGACAAAATAAATTTTACTTATTATATGCATTTTGATTATTTGAATGCCTCTTTATTGCAATGTCTAAACAAGTTAATTCAGAGAATTTGTGTCCCCTGCTTAGGGAAAAAGTAATCCATGTGCAGTTCGGGAGGAGGGGGGAGGTTGGATCCCCCTGACTGAATTTGTTGAATTATTAAATGTATGTATTACATGTATACTAAAGCAAATAAAATATGCCAATATGGATATAAAGATGTGATTGCTTATTCTTTATTATGTGTATAGAAGATTCTTATGTATTAAATACTGATCACACTGTAATGATGATTTTATGAGTTTGTACAAGCCAGACCTCATAAATTTTTCATTTTACATGCTGAATACTATCATTTAGTAGAAAAAAAAAAGTATTTTGGAAAAAAAGAAAGTGAACCATCCGGGATTCGAACCCGGGACCTCTCACATTTGAAGCGAGAGACCACTAGACCACGGAACCGCTTACGATCAGCGACAATTATATGCAAACATGAAGTCACATACATGTATATACATGTATTCATGTTAGATATTGTCAAAATTTTACACAATGCATGGTGTCTAATTTAGCCTTTATTTAACAGTTCTAATAGCAGTGTTTTCAATAAGAGCCAGCAACCGGCAAAATTAACAGCCTGTACGAGAAATTTTGCCGGCTGTGAAATTTCCGTCATTAGGATTTTGCCGGGGCTGATACTTGAAATCCATAGATTTTATCGCAACTATTTCCATGATCAAATTAGCTTCCCTTGAGTGCACTCTATTTTCAAGGAAGTTTGATTAGATTGATAGTGTCATGTAATGGCATCGCGGACAACAAATATTTGAGCGAAGTCGTGGAGAAACGTGCTGCTTTTGTAACACATGTGTTTGAGATCACATACATTAAGAGACATAAAGCATGGTCCCCTCCGAAAAAATTTGTTTGTGTTTTATAATTTTTAATTTAAAATTGATTGTGCGACAGCCTCAATATTAATTAAGTGAGGGGTTCCCCGTAAACGACAGCAAATAGCTATATCTAGGCCAATATAATTTTAAGACCTTACTAAAAAATGTATGAATTCTTACATAATTTCCTCAAAATGAAAATATCAAATGTTAAGCTAAGACGTGACTTAGACCTAGAAATTCTTACAGAATATCCTCAAACTGTAAATGCAAAATTTCATTCTCATTTATTCGTGTAAGATATCTCGAAATACAGGGACAGTACCGTTTTCACATTTGGGGAGGTTTTAATATACTAGTATTTTGTATCAAATTCCATTTTCTTAATTATTTTTTTTTCTGACAATCTGTACAAAATGTCAAAAAATAAAATCAATTTAAAGATTTTTTTATGAAAAGTCTAAGATTGCAGATTATTTCAATTTTTAGGGGGTACTGTACATCACCATGTGTTTAAAAAATCTTAAATTTTTAACTAAATAATTTTTTTTAAATATGAATAAAAGTCCTGACCAATATATGTGATAGGGAATAAATATGTAGAATCTTCAGTTTAATATTTTACCCTTACAATTGTCTATACTATAATTTCATACTTAAGATGTCTACATGTTTTTATAGACACACAATTTTAAAAAAAAAAAACCAGTCTGTCAAAAATCTGTCAAATTAATCTGTGAAAAGGTAAAAATTGTTTTCTAATTGGCTTTTTTAGGTAAAATTTGATAATTGATAGTGACAGGAATGTAATAAAATAGTACTTTTTAATGGCCTGAGAGGTAAGAAAAGTGAGTCAAAAATGCTGAATTTCGTTTTAGGCCAGGGGGCTTTGCCCCCCTGGGCCACCTACCAGGGCTCTGCCCTTGACCCGCTGGGGGCCTAAGGCGGCCCCCAGACCCCTCGCCAAGACTAGTTTCCTGCTATTCCATCTATTTTTCCTTCTATTGAAAATCTTATTGAAAACACTGAATAGTTGTAATAAGAATATAAAGTCCGCTGAGAACCTGTTTTATGCGTAATAACTCTCCTCATGCCCCTGTGCTAAAAATAGCGACGTGTAATACAATAAATTATATATTAATTAAACAAACAGGGCAGGACACTTTGAGAGGGTTGAGAAAGGTCTAAGGGTGTTTGGGTATAAAATTACATGTACATTGCAAAAGCTCAAAATCTTCTTGAAATATCGCCCGGAAATGATAGTGCAACAAACAGACAGAATATATAAATTTACGACGAACTTTGACCTTTTGACCTCAAAATCAATAGGGGTCTTCCTTAGGCCACAGGGAGTTGTTATGTAAAATTTTATTGCAAACGCTCAAAGGGTCCTCAAGATACTGTGCAGAAACGAAAGTGTTATAACAGACAGAATATGCAAATTTATGACCTTGACCTTTGACCTTTTGACCTCAAAATCAATAGGGTTCTTCTTTAGTTTATAGGGAGTTGCTATGCAAAATTTTAATTCGAACGCTCAAAGGGTTCTCGAGATATTGTGTGGAAACGAAAGCATTACAGACAGAAAGACGGATGGATGGATGGACGGACGGACGGACGGACAGACCCAAATTAATATCCCCCACTTTTCAAGCGGGGAACAAAAAAATGTCTCATTATCTGGTTTAGCAAGCAAAGTCAAAGAATTGTGGTCCCTGGCTTTCAGTGTCTTTGTGGGTGAAATGTGTATTTTTTATGACATATTGTGTCAAATATTAGAAATTATCACCAAGGTTAAATTTTTTTCAAATAAGGTCAGTTGTAAAGGTCAAGGTCAAGAGGTCAGAAATCATAGCATACCTGGAAATATCTTGTCATAGGTAATGCATATGTCAAATATGAAACCCTTATCTCTTCACAATCAAAAGTTATAAGGAAAAATGAAAAAAAAATTAAAAGTAGGTCAAACTTCAAGGTCAAGGTCACAAGATCAAAAATCGTAGTGTATTTAGAAAGGTCTTGTCACAGGCAATACACAGGTTAAATATGAAAACCCTTTCTCTTCTCATTAAGAATTCATGACCAAAGATAATGTTTTTAAAAAGTAGGACAAACTTTAAGGTCAGTGTCACGAGGTCAAAAATCACAGTGTACTATATGAAAACCCTATCTCTTCCTATTCAAAAGTTATGGCCATGCAGTTCAAAGTATTGTTTAAATTTTTTTAAAATAGGTCAAAATTGAAGGTCAAGGTTTTGGTGTCAAAAATTATAGTGTATTTAGAAAGGCCTTGTCATATAGATAATACACATGATTGTGTAATTTGAAAGTCCTATCTCTTCTCATTCAAAAGATATGACTAAGGTTCAAGTTTTTGTGATGGATGAACAGAAAGACAGATGGATAGACTGACAGATGAACAGATATATGAGATT